AGGTTCTCTACCACTTTCCAACTCCTCACACAGGACGTACAGAGAGAACACACCCCAATACTTTCCCCCTCCCTCCTCCAGCAGCACCGCCACACCTGTCTCTTATACACATCTAGATGTGTATAAGAGACAGGGCTACTACCGTCTTCCCCCGAACATAACGCACCCCAAAAATGAATGTATACAAGCTATATTCCCGGCCAGAAACAGCCAAAATAATGGTGCGTTGTGTTCGGGGGAAGACGGTAGCAGCTACACCAACCATGGGAGGTTTTTCCCTGTTTATCTCATCCACGGGCAGGTCGCAACTAGCAAAGAGGAAAGAGGGGACTGGGCTGATTGCCTGCATGTAGACGTGTATGTGGAAAAGTGCAGAAACTCGAGTTTGAACTGCTTTTCTGCATCTCTGCTTAAATCACGTCCAGATTCACGAGCTGAACCCTATCCCCTTCGCAAATGGGACCTTGCCCCACACGGCCTCCCACCACCATCTCCCAAACTGGAGATACTGGGGCAGAGGCTTACGTGCAGTGTCCCAAGGAGGGCTCTATTGGCACAGCGTAGAAAAAGCAGGCCTCTCTGCTCAAGGACCGTTCCGCTCACCAGCCAATCTGGCAAATGAAGGCACCTATAAAGAAAATTGACATGCCATGAACTGGCTTTTTTTTAAAAAAAAAAAAAAAAAAAAAAAAAAAAACACTGTAAACACCTTTGCGATACTGCATTAGTAGAGAGCAGCATATCGTGGCAGAATACAGCAATCTGCCACGATATGTCGCGTGAACACAGAGTGAACACAGAGTTAAAGGCCCAACTAGCAAATGCCAGTAACTCTGTGTTCACTGCGACATGTAAAGCCTCGCACATCGACTTCAACTACGCATATGCCTATCTCAAGGCACTACTACTGAGGGTAGCATCTCTGACTACTTAGCCTATCTTTCTTTTATCATTTCCTGTACTTAGCAGCCTCTCTCTCCTTTATCATTTCCTGTACTTAGCAGCCTATCCTTCTTTTATCATTTCCTGTACTTAGCCTATCTTTCCTTTATCATTCTCTTTTATCATTTCCTGTACTTTTTTTATATCATTTCCTGCACTTAGCCTAACTTTCCTTTATCATTTCCTGTACTTAGCCCAACTTTCCTTTATCGTTTCCTGTACGTAGCCTATCTTTCCTTTATCATTCTCTTTTATCATTTCCTGTACTTGGCCTTTCAGGCGCTTTCTTTCCTTTATCATTCTCTTTTATCATTTACTGTACTTAACAGCCGACAAGCGAGGGCAGGTGCAGAGTCTTCAGACCACACATAAACGCATCTTTGAAGGGTACAATGGAAATTTTCCCAAGAAAACAAACACGCGGAAAACTTTCGAAATAGATGAAAAACAGAGCAAGCCAGGCGGTAGATAGCCACTCGCAGCAGAACGCAGACAAAACAACACATGCCATGACGTCGCCCGTCCGTTTGGCTCATAAGTTGAATGCAAATAAAGTCAAAGTCGTCTCTGACGGAAGGACATAACTGAAATTTCCCTCTGTGAGAAACTCTCTTCCAAGGAGCTATTCGACAAAACAACACATGCTGTCCATTTAACTGCCCCTTCCCTCCCCCTCCCCTTCCTCCCTTCCCCCCCCCCAAAAAAAAAAAAAGGACGACGTCAACTGATTGTGGCTACAATTGCAGTCAAATACATCCCTGAACAAGAAAAATTCTCACACGGCTGTAATTGCGGTCGAATGCATCCTGGGAAAAGACACTCAAACTGCGGCGTTGATCACTCCAGCAGGCCGCACAGTCAATATAAGCAATGTCGGGAAGTGTAAGCAGGCCTTTAGAAGCAAGCCGGCTACCCAACTTCACCCAGCAAACAGAGGCAGCAAAGGAGATGCCGTGCACAAAGGAGGAAGGCTTTCCATGCAGTGACAATGCTGCAACCGACACAAAAGAGCGAATGTATGGGGAGCTGCCATGCTGACATAACGCATGGCAAATTGCCATGGGATAAAACAGGATACACACACACACACACACACACACACACACACACACACACACACACACACACACACACGCACATGCAAGCACACATGGAGAGACACAGACAGGCAGACAGGCAGGCAGACAGAAAGAAGTGTTTCTGACGCAAAAGACTTGTAGTATATCAAGCTACACACACACACACACACACTGCCACTTATGCACGCACACAGAGACACAGAAAGTCGGACAGGCAGAGGGACAGAAAGAAGTGTTTTCGAAGCAAAAGACTTATATCAGGCTACACACATACATACACACACACGCATGCACGCACAGAGAGACACAGACAGTCAGAAAGGCAGACGGACAGAAAGAAGTGTTTTCGATGCAAAGACTTGTAGTATGTCCAACAAGCGATCCAGATGTGACGAATCCATGGTGTTGACGACAACAAGCAACTGAAAACAACAGAGCAGAAACGATGGGAGCCATCAACAAGTATCTGACTGCAATTACGGCCAGACCTGGATGAATCCAACTGCCATCACGTCCAGAGCTTAATTAGAAAAAGTCCTAGTGTGAATATCCCCTCAAGTGGATAGGGCCTCCCTTTGCGTTCCTCCCACATTCTGGGCCCCACTCCCCAAGCCGCCAATATCCATCCCCTCCTCCTCCTCCCCCAACCCCCAAACAATGGCCCCTCTCCTCCCTCTCCTGCAATGACCCCTTCTCCCCCCCGTTCCCCCGCCCACCCCACCCTAGAGGTGAGCGACAGGTGCCCACACACACACCCACCTGCACCCACCGCACCCACAACGGGATGGGTAAGCTCTGCGTCTGTCTAGGCCGCCCTGGGTGCAGTGATCCCAGCCGGCGTGGGTGGTGGGTGTGTCGTGAGACTTATCCCTCTATGCATGGGTGGGTTGCGGGCAACCCAGGCATTGGCCTGGGTGGGTGTCGGGCGGGGTAGGCCTTGGCTTGGGTCACCCGACCCAGAGCACCCAGAGGTTTCATAAGATCCCCTGTGCGCGCACGTACGTGTGCCGTCGTGAGTGCAGGTGGGTCTGGCTGGGTGAGGCTTTTCCTCAGGTGTCAGGCAGGTTGGGCAAGGAAGCAAATTTCGGAAAAATAATTAGGCAGGTTGGGTCAAGGTCGAGCGAAAAGAAAAATTATTGGGCAAGGGTAGGCGAGACTTAAAAAAAAATCAGGGCGGGTCAAATGTGGGTGAAGGTAAAACCAAAAATGCTTACCTCTGCCCCCCGCCCGCCCCACCTGACCAGACCGAAGGACAGGCTAAGAAACAAGCATAACATTTTTCGCTGGGCAAGTTCAACGGACACCGCTCTCATCTATCTTTTACTTAGTCATTATGGATACCAACCTGATTTCACAAACGCTTGTCCGCCGGATGATTGTTCCCCATCCTTCACGCTCTCATTGTGAGCCTAAGCCGCAATGCAACCAACAACCGACTGAGTGATCGCAAAAAAAAAAAGCGACATTTTCTCTTCTTAACGCCAAGACGCATCAAGCAAGGCCGCCACCCTTCTTCATTGGTTCCTAAACAAGAGTACAACATGGAATGCCAGTGAGGCAGGCACACTATTAGACACACTGTGGCCATCTACAATGGAAGGCAGCAATTGCCCATCTCTACATCCCGAAGACGTAGTCGATCAATTTCGATACTGTCGACTTGGTGGGTTGGGCGATCCCCGTGCTGACACCAAATTCACCCCTCCCAACAAGATAAGGACGTGAGGAATGTGCAGCAGCAACAGCCGCACTCGATGATCCCCTTGTCCCACGCCCGACGGGTAGAGTCAAAGAGCCTCTACATCCATCAACACCCTGACTCTGCCTAGCCATGATTGCCATTCTCTGTGACTTGTCAATCAGCTTAACTCCTACAATCAGCGTGCTGCTGAGCTGGGCACCATTTTTCACCAGAGCTTTCTGTGCATCGTACTTGTTCTGCATTCACACACATTACACACATACAACGACAAACACACACACACACACACACACACAGATAGTTGGCGTGAGCAAACTCAACACACACACACACACACACACAGATAGTTGGTGTGAGTACAGTCAACCACTTTTCTCTCTCAAGGATGGGTATTGCTAACTCTGGGCGACGTGGTGAGTCCTCATCCATCAGTCAAATGCATCCTGATGGGCAGACTGACTGCGTTCAACCTCCTGACAAGTCGGTGAAAGTCCGATGAAACAGTCTGGCAAAGTCTAGCTTTTTTTTTGGGTCCAGTTGTGTATAGCAAACATGACAACACACACCATCACCCACCACATCCTCTCCTAGCATGCCCCACATGCAGCACTGGAGCATACACCTGCTGCCACCGCAGTCAAATCTACTTCATCCTTGGCAGACAAACATTCAACGCGGCAGCCTGAGGTGGAAAACAGAGTATCGGATGAACCACCTTCCGTGCCCTGTACTAGAAACACGGTTATCGCCGCCACGGCGAGCGGTTACAGACCAAATCTTGCAACAGCTAAACATCCTAACTCTAGATCAGCCCTCGTTGTCGCCTGCCCATAGACAAGGGAATCATGACAGCGCAAACCCAAGACAAGGGAATCATCCTTGGCAGACAAACATTCAACGAGGCAGCCTGGGGTGGAAAACAGAGTATCAGATGAACCACCTTCCGTGCCCTGTATTAGAAACACGGTTATCACCGCCACGGTGAGCGGTTACAGACCAAATCTTGCAACAGCTAAACATCCTAACTCTAGATCAGCCTTCGTTGTCCCCTGCCCATAGACAAGGGAATCATGACAGCGCAAACCCAAGAAACTTGCTCAATGCCACTCTGTGATCGCCCACCTGTGATTCCGCTAGCATGTGATTCACATGCTTTGTGTCCTGAGGATTATGTACACATAATAGATAGCTTATGCAAGTCTTTGTTTCCATACGAACGATGACAGTCAACATGGCACTCATGTACGGCACCTTCACACATCATGTTCGTTCAAGTTATAGACAGCGACTGGAACGGCAACGCCTATATAATTGCCGTCCGCATGCCTCTGTGGGGTTCCCAGCATGTAGGAGCCATGTAGCGTGTGACGTCTGTCTACCGACTCTACGCCATGCCATTCGATGCAGCAACCGCGACTGCGAGAATCGGATGCCGTGCTTCGACTCCTGTGCGGCCTATAGGTGGTGTCACTTACCATAGGCAAAAGTGAAACCACCTTCTTCAACCGAATACAACGTACGGTCATTATAGCTGAATTTCGCGTATCTTTCAGTCTAAATACAGCTGTAATGACCGTACGTTGAATTCGGGGGAAGAAGGTAAGTCTGCTCCAGAAGTGAGTACTGACAACCCTGTGAAGTTCATCTTTCTTCTGTTTCACTTCTTTGCCCCTCCACTTCCCTCCTCTACCTGTTCTCCCTTCCCCGCCCCTCGCTTCCTATAGAACTCCGCTCCCTACCTTTTTCCTGCCTCCTGTTGTGTACTACTTGCATCATTAAGAGAACAGACTGTATATAAACAGAAGATCTGAAGAAAAATGAACACGAGTATACCCCTCCCCCTTTGCTCTACCTCCTATCGTAACGTGCAAGTGAGCTGTTACGGCACAACACGGGGATGTGGGCAGCTGTCACTAAACCACCATCAATGTGGCCAACCCCGTAACACATGAGAGGCACAGTAAAAATGGATACGCAAGAACTGTCCCCCGATGAGGAGACGACAGCTTATAAAAAAAAAAAGAAGGAAAAAAAAAGGGTAATCCAAAGAAAGCCAAAGTAAAGATAGTCAAGAAAGGGATATAACGAATCTGTTCTGCTCCATGTTGCTTGCTACCATAGAGGTAAACCTGTTTCATTGTTCAACTGGCTCATCTCAAGTGTGCTTCATTGTCTGCAATAGAGGTATAAGCTACCTCGATCTTAAATCTACTCATCTGGGTGGATCAGGGGCTGCTGTGGTGAAAATCCACACACACACACACACACACACACACACACACACACACATCTCTTATACACATCTGATGTGTATAAGAGACAGGTCCAAGAGTAGTGTGTTGAAGCGAAGTCTCATCGATCCATTTTAGGGCAGTGGGGGTTTTCCGCTGAAGAGCAGAGTGTCAAACTCCTACGAACTTGCATACGATTGGACTGATGCGAATCTCTCACATCCAAGATCTATCACATCCAGGACAATAGGCCCGCTCCCCCACAACCCCCCCCCTTTCCCCCCCCGCCCTGGAAAACAAAAAGGACAACCCCCCCCCCCCTCCCCCCCCCAAACGCCGTTGGGAAAACAAAAGCCAAAAAAAGCAAAGAGGAGTTTGAGGCTTGACGTAGAAGACAACTTCGTCTCGACCGGCCAAATCAGGGGATACACACACAACGACTTATTTACGTATTTTTGGACGGAATTTCGGCCAGATACATGCAGGTATGGCCGTGAATGCGGTCAGATACATTTGAGATACCGCTAGTTTTCGGGGTGTGGGGAAATCCAATTGTCGGATCATTGTCCCAGTAAAAGCAGCAGCTTCATTTTCTTTTTCTTATTAGTTTGTTTGTTTATTTTTTGTTTTGTTTTTT